GACCTTTGACCTCTCAAGTAATCCTTTATATACAGAACAGAAACCACTAAGCTAAAAACAAATTACGAAGTGGATGCCACTGATCGCTCCAATATCCAAACTATGTATTAATTTCGCGATCTCACTGCTTTTGTTGCTACACCGTTCCACTTCTCTTTCACCGTAACTTGAGCAACTTTACTTTGTCTCTTAGCAACAAAACACAGCCCATCGTTATTTGTTGAAGATTTGAGATTTCTAAAAACCAAAGGAATCTAATGTTGCATTTCGTTTTTACGTTTGGAAGTTCATTCCCTGTCACATAACCGGAATAGCCGGTTTTTGACATTTCTCTGACATTTGGAAAAATATGGCTTACTTATTTTAGCATAACTCCGGTTTTACTTGGCCTATTAACACAATTTAAAAACTAGTGTGTATTTTATAATGTACTCTTTAAGCACAAGTTGAAAGTGAGACTGGGGGAGGCGGAGTCTTGCTGCCAAGCCGTCACAAGTCAGACATGTTAAAAAGACGCATATAACCTGTGGACCCCTATGATTTAATGGATCGATACTCGCGGATGAAAAATCGGTACCTTCCGAGGGAGGAAAATATCGATACATATCGTAGAATCGATTTAATTATACAGCCCTACTTACAGGTCAGCCCGGCCCTGGCCCCGGGTAATTTCTTTACCGTTTCACTACAGGGCCTAACTTCTAAGTACATTGTCAAACCATCAGTGCAAAGTAATGAAGATGATAGAATTCTATGCTTACAATACCATATTCAGGTCTAGTCATGATATTCTTACAAACCTTCCATCCAGATGTTGTGGGAATTATTTGTCTAACAGCTGCATCCCTGTGCAGCTCCACCTTGCCACTCTGTTGGAGGAACTCAGCAATGGACTCTGGCAAAGTTTCCACTCCCCTCTTTAGAGACCACTGAGCCCAGGCCTCTCTCTTTGCTCTCTGAGCCAGATGTCCAGGAACAATCACAGGTGCTGAACCTGCGGGGTTCCAAACATATAATTTTATTCTAATTAAACTATGAAGATCACATTGATATGAGAGCAGAAAAAAGATTATTTTTCAAATTAGTATCACAAACATACAGTTCATGTCAGGTTTACCACAACACATGCAATTTTATAGAACATACAGTTTTACAGATTCAGAGTCTGGTTGCACCATCAGTTTGACTTGTTGAAAACTAACAACTTATAGTCATCATCTGCCACAAAGAAAAGCGGAAAAACTCTACAAAATTGACTTTTTTCAACAAGAAAATTTGAGCGTAAAGATAATGACATTTTTATCCACGAGCCTAAAAAAAAAAGTGATTTCATAAAATGAAATGAACAGAGCATGACTGAAAAGGATTGTGTTTTTATGGCTGCGAAGCCACTACCGTTTGTCTGATTAGAAGCAACCTGGAACTCCACTACATTTGGAGAGATATATCATCCAGAAAGTATTAAGATATGCCTGGAACCTGAAGGGAAAAGGAAGTGAGGTGTGTGCTTTACCTGAGCCCAGCAGGAAGCCCAGAGTCAGGGATCCTCTCTGCTGCTCAGCCTTGTAGAGCGAAGGGAAGCAGGAGCGCACACTCAGCTTCTTACAGTCCCCCGCAAACACACCCCGACACACACTGTCCATAGCTAGGTCTGCCAACTAAACACAGAGGAAAACAACTCAATAGCACAAATAGATTTATTGATTTGATTAGATATGAGTATGGTGTTTTTTATTCTCCATTATAAATCAAAGGACTAATGGAATTAGTCACCAAATTTTGTAAAAAAGAAAATCAAAAGCAGTCTCATGGCAATGTACTGTATACCAAACAGGAAGTTGGCAATTGTCCTTTTCAAGGATTGTAAAAAACACAATTTCGTGGCTATGTACTGCTTGGTACTACCAGCCAAGCAGTGAACATGTCGAGGAGGCGGAGTCAGCAATCCACAGGTTGTAGCACCGTCTCGGTGTGAGGAATGCCCAATTATGCTTGTTGCTTTAATAAGGCATAAACAATGAAAGTGCTGTAATGGCCTATTATTAATTGAAAATATATTCTTTTGTTAAATGAAACATGTTTTGGAGGGCCTAAACATACTCGAAAACTTAATCTGCACAAAATTCAATTAAATTTCTGTTACACAAAGATATTCATAAAAATAGGAATGGCCAAATAGTAAAACAGTGCCCCTAACCTCAGTCAGGCTGACCCATTTATTGAAGACAATTAAAGTTAGGTACACATAGAGATCTCTCCAAGTTGAGTAAAAAAATTCCTGGAGGAATGTCCTAAAACAAACAGGAAATCAGCCATTTTGGATCAAAGGGTTTTAGTGATTTTATGTGTCAAACTTTGATAAACTCGTTCTAGGTATTTTACAGTATCAACTGTAAGTTTAAGGAGCTAAACTACTTCTTTGCCCGTTTTGAAACCTACCAGCAGAACCGTTTAGCTCCCCAACCCCTCTCCCGCCTTTTTCCTTCACCACTCAACTCATTGTACAAGAGTATGATGTCAGACAGATGCTTCTGGCAGTGAACTCCAAGAAAGCCGTCAGCTCCAGAGTACCTGGTAAAGTGCTCAGAGTGTGCCCTACCAGCTTGCACCCATCTTTACTAGGATCTTTAACCTCTTCCTGAGTCAGGCAGTCATCCCACCTCGCCTATAATCAACGATACTCATCTCTCTACACCAGGGGTGGGCAACTCCAGGCCTCGAGGGCCGGTGTCCTGCAACTTTTCGATGTGTCTCTACTTCAACACACCTGAATTAAATAATGAGGTCATTAGCAGGACTCTGGAGAACCTGACTGCACCTTAGGATGTGATTCAGCTGTTTGATTGAAGTGTGTTGGACCAGGAAGATATCTAAGAGTTGGAGGACACCAGCCCTCGAGGACCAGGATTGTCCACCCCTGCTCTACACTAAGCTTCTACACCCACCACACAGTCCGGCTCACAACAACAAACACACTGTCATGTTTGCTGATGACACCACAGAGGTCAGACTCATCTCACAGGGTGATGAGGCAGCCTACAGAGAGGAGGTCCTGAAGCTGGCAGCCTGGTGTTCAGAGAACAACCTTACTCTGAACACCAAGAAAACCAAGAAGGTCATCATGGACTTCAGGAAGCTCAACACCGACACGGCTCCTCTCTACATTAACGCAGTGTGGAGAGGGTCCACATCTCTGCTGACATCTTCTGGACTTACAACATCACAGCAGTCATCAAGAAGGCTCAGCAACACCTACACTTCCTGAGAGTCCTCAGGAAGCACAAACTAAACTCCAAGCTGCTGTTGACCTTCTACCGCTCATCCATGCAGATTCTGTTGACATACTGCATCACAATGTGGTACGGCAGCTGCCCCAAGCTATGCATGGCCATGTTTCGAGCCCTACAAAAATAATCTCTTGACGCCAAGGTCTAAACTCAGCTTAAAGGTCTAAACCCAAAGACAGTTTAGATCGGCTTCTAAACCCTTGGCCCTGAGGCTGAACCCTCAGCTTGAGGGCTCAACTCTGGCAAATTTGAATCAAAGCTGCCATTTTCTCTTCTTTACCCACATATCTGAGCAAATTCCTTACAGCTTTGGGCTTGTAGACCTCATTTTGAATCAGTATAGTCGTAAGACATTGGAGATCAAAAGTTATCAAATGCTTTTTGCTGCATCAAACCATGTGAGCATGGTCAAACCTCAAAGTCTGATTGCTCTCCATAAAAGATGAGGGTGCAATAACTTCCACAAGGTCAGAGCTGGACCAAACTTTGTGTCAACAAAGTTACGGGTTTCTGTAGTGAACAAGAAACCGTGACGGTCTGGAGAAATTAAAAAGTTTGTCTAATAAAATAATATCAGGTTTAGATCTTATTAAAAAAACAATCTTAATGATTGATGCAGCAACAGAAAAGTAGTTGTGGGCCCCTTACCTCCTTTCCAAGCCTCCTGGAGACAAATGAATGAATGGACTCATCCTCTTCTCTTCCTTTCTTTACCAAGATCTCAGTGAGGAGACTGAACAGAAGGGGGCGGGAGAATGGAGCGACTGTTTTCAAAATTCCACTGTAACAAAAAGCAAGGAGGGAGAGTGAATGTGATAAAAGAGCCACTAACACAAAGATTGTTAGAGATGAAAGACTGGTTGAGATTTCACAGAGCTTAGCATGTTTCTCATGTTTTTTTAAGACAGGTGATCTGCCAGGGTGTACCCTGCCTCTCACCCAATGACGGCTGGAGAAAGGTGCCAGCTTTCCATGACCCAGAATTGATAATCCATCCATCGTCTACAGCTGTAGACGATGGATGGATACTGTTTAAAGCTTTAGTGTTGCGATATCATTTCAAACTCCAGAACGTAGCTCTTACACCCATAAACTGAACTCCAAATATCAAAATAGTTTGGATCTTGGTGTGCTTGATGCTAAACAGTTGCAAGAATCATATCAGTTCTGTCTGAAAAGTTTTATCTGTATTTTAATGGTTGTCTGACACCGAATTTTGTGATGACTCTTGTGTTCTCAGAGTCATCTTAACTGCAGTGAACATGTAGCTTAACAAAAAAAATTCTTAATCTTTTTTTCTTCCTCTGGAAAATCTTCAAGATGATATCTGAGCTCCTAACCTTTTACCTTATTCCAGAAGGCAACTTGTGGAGCTGTCCATTGACATACAGATAGCGGTTCTTAGAGGCAACATGATTGTAGGAAACTGGAAGAATATCTCCCTCCAGACCCAGACCTTCCACCTGCAAAAACAAACATCAAATTCATGCTGAAATTAATCAAGTTCTCAGAGTTTAATTAATGATCGTAGACATGGTTTTCTCTATACTCCTTCTTTAAGTCTCTTGTTCCCTGAATTCCAGTTACAAAGACTAAATAAAAAATAGTAAAGTCCTTATAGAATGCTGCTAATGGTGGGGAGAAAAATCGCCACACTGACAAGAAGGATCTTTAAATCAGTTTCTCTGTGATGTAACCTGTGTACTGAATCTCACAGTTATAAGAGGATTCTGTCTGAACAGGAAACATGCCAGGACAGATATACTCTCATGCCTATGGACCATCAACCAACGAGCAACCAGACCAGACGTTTCCCGTCTTATGACACAGTTACCGGTCTAGAGGCTGTTGGGTCTATAGTAGACGCTCATCTCTCATATGATGGAAATCTTTTAGCATTTCTACATCAAATCTAAAGTTTAATCACTAGGCTCTCAAATCCATATTAAGACCACTGTAGCAATAAACATGCTTCTATTAGTTTATGATGCAAATGTTCAGAACATATAGTGTTACAAACCATATTGAGTGTGTTGGTTCCAACTGCCCCAGCAGGTCGGATCCCCCTTGGTCCCAGTTCAAACACGGCCCCATCAGACCGCCTCAGTGACCACAGCCAACCACCAAAACGACTGCTGGACTCCAGAACGATTACCTGTTGATTGATGTCAGGTAAATGCATTGTAGGCTTCATTCATTTTCCTTCAAAGTTGTCCTAAAATTGCACTTGAACTTAAATGAGAAGAATATTGACAAACACTAATAGTGAACAACTGGACATTCTAAACTAAATTAGAGTACAAAACAATAATTTGCATCTGTAGCTAAGGCAGCAGTTTAGATTGGAGCTAAGGCAGCAGT